GGGGGGCCCAGCAGGGAGGCTTGGTGGGGCTGGAGGCTTCTCCATCTTGAAGTGGAACTGGAGGAAAAACTGGAGAAGACGGAGGGGGCTGAGCGGCGGTCCAGAGGGGACAGGCCGGCCGGGGCAGATGCCCAAGGCCCCACGAGCGCCTGGACCCAGACCCACTCACTCACCTGCTTCGTTTCCCGATTCCAGTGGGTCCAGAACTTGCCCTCGGCCTTGTCAATCTCCCTGCTTGGCACCTGTGTGGGGACGGGGGTGGAGCGGGGCCTTGAGGACCACGCCGGATCTGGGGTGGCGGCGGCTGATGTCCCAGCCCGGCTACCTAGCAGCCCTGGGGTCCCGGGGAAAGGCTGTGCTCTTTGCCCGGGACGGGATTACGGGTCCCCAAACAGCCTGGCCACACAAGGGTGTCTTCCCACCAGGGTCACGTCAGGCTCTCTGCCCTTCGGTGGGGACCCACCTCTGGACGCCCAGCCCCCGGCTGTCGGTTCACACAGCTCCCCCGCCTTCCAGAGGCCGCGACCCACTGGGGGATGGCTGCTGGGGGACCCCGTGGGTGCTACCTTGAAGGCGATGGTCTCGTAGGGCTCGGCGGCCATCAGGAGGTACTGCCAGCGCCGGTCCGGAGGCTCGATCCTCTGCTCGTAGGCGGACATAAAGCGGTGGCGGGGCATGACGCCCTCGGCGATCTCGGGGTAGTCGATCTGTGGGGGGGAGGGCAGGTGGCAGCGCCGCCGTTCAAGGGACCCCCTCCCACCCCCAGTCGGGCTCCGGCTGCCCCTACCTGGAAGAGGAGACTCTGCTGGCCCATCTCTGTGTCCCTCTGCTTCGTCACTGCAACACACGAAGGGATCAGGTCCAGGCCAGCTCGTGCTCCCGGAGGCTAAGGGACCACGGGTGTGGACGAACGCCACCCGCGAACGGGAGGGCAGGACGCTGGGGCCCGTCGTCTGGCTGGTGAACCAGGGCTACGTGTACCTGGGACGGCTACCGCCCAGGACCGTGGGGTCCCTGCCTGAGGTCACGGAGTCAGGGGTGCGCGTGGGCAGGATGAGGGCCCTGTGGCCCTCACCTCGAGGCCTGGGACGACACTCCACGGAATCTGAAGCGGGGGCACGCTGTGCACACACAGCAAGCAGGGTCTGTGCCCCTGCTTCTGGGAGGACGCCCTTCACGTTAGAGCCCTGCACAGGCCTCCAGTGGCCCTGTTCTCACTCGCAGACCGCTCTCCATACAGCTCTGGAACATGCCGCGCTCCCCCCCAAGCCCTCCAGCGTCTCCCCATGACACTCAGGACAGAGACCAGGTGGCCTACCATGGCCCGAAGGCCTTTGGTGGCCTCCATCTGCCCCCCCCCTCAGATCCTGTCATCCCAGCCCTAGCTTATCAAGCAGACCTGCCCCAGGACCTTTGCGCTGCTGTGTCGGGCTTGGAGTGCCAGTCATGCACAGATGTCGCTACCTTTAGTTAGAACAGCTGCCTGGTAGCTTTTTCTTTCTAACTCCCGGAAACGTAGTCCTCTATATTCCAATGGAGCCACTTAACCTACTTTCTGGCAGGTGATCCAAGAACCCTCGTCTCTGCCGTCAGTTCCACTAAATAAGTGGTTTCTTACACAGACCTTCACCCTCTCCTCCTTCAGGCTGAAGCACCAACACCCTGTCCCAAGGTCAAGGAAAGGGCCTCCCCTCCATGGTCACTCACGTCGCCCAACAGCACAGTAAAGAACCACCTGCTCCCAAGACACGGGGACACGGGGCCCGAGAAGCCGTGACACTCTGTTAGGGCTGTCTGGGAAAGTTCACAGGAAGGGGGGCCCCAGGGGGGCCGCTGGTCCCAGCCTAGTCCTTCCGATGGGAAACAGGAGAGGCACGGACAAGTGGGGGTCTCCGCAGCAAAGGGCCAGACAACAGCAGCTTCTGTGTGGCTCAAGGACAGGGCTGGGGGTCACGCCCAGCCCCGGCTGCGGGCCAGACCGTCCCCAGACAGAATTACCTTTGTAGCCCGGGCGGCCGATCTTCACAAACTTCTTCACCTCCACCTTGACCTTCTCTGGCGCCGGCTGGGCGGGGGCCTCTTTGGCCTCCTTGGCGGCTCGCCGGGCCCTGCAGGCGGGACAGAGATGGCACCGTGGCCCCCCACACGGGCCGCCAAGGCCACAGGCCCAGGTGCTGGGAGCTGTCCAACCCTCACAGCGACCTTGGGAGTTTGAGAGGCCAGGGGCACGGGGGTGGGGGTGCTGGTTGGGGGTCCCAGGGTTCGCACGCAGCGGGGCTGGGACAGGCTCGGGGCACCTCTGTCCCCATCACATTTTGTGCTGCCCCTCACTAGGAGGTCTTCTGTGACCCTCACCTCTCTCCCCGCGTTACAGAAGCCCCAGGCCGCAGCACGATCAGCTTGACCGCTGGGGAAAGAGCACCTCCCACCCCTCCTCGCGCCCACCCTCTGCTCGGCCCCAAGGCCCGGGAGACCCCGTGAAGCAGCTCCTGGAGGGGCTGGACCCCGGGCGCCGGAAGGGGGCCCAGGTACTCACAAGTTGGTCTGATGCTTCTTCCCCTGGGTGTGCGCCAGGTAACTCCCCTGCAGCGGGAAAAGCACACGGGTGGTTCGAGACCAGGTGAGCGAGGGCGGGGAGGGCAGAGAGGAGCCGGCCTCTGTCCACAGGCCCTGCCTCGAGGCGGGCGCTGGGTGGCTGCCGGACGGACAAGCTCCGGCACGTTCGCACGAAGCGGAGCAACACCGAGCCGGAGAAGGCGTCTGCGAGCGCCCGCTGTCACAGCGTGTGGGGCTCGGGAAGGCTCGCTGCCCACCGCCGCGGGGGGTGATCAGTGGGCCCGGCTGCACGGTGGAGGCTGGTACCCCCCAAGTGACGTGCCCCGGGACCGCCGGGGTCCGACCTGACAACAGCCCAGGGGACCTCTCCGCACGGAGCGGGGCGAACTCCCCGTTTCTCGATTGCCAGGGGAGCACTGGTGGAGTCTGGGGAAGTTTGTGGCGGTCGTGACCGGGGCGGTCCTGGCATCGAGCGGGTGGGGGACACGGCTCAGCATCCCCCGAGAACGACCCGACTCGTCTGTCAGCACTGCCGAGGGGGACAGACCGCGCGACTCGGCACCACTTGTGACCGCAAACAACCCGAACGCTCAACAACGGGAAAGGGGAAAGCCGGATCTACTCGCTCCGGAGCGGATCCGCGCACCGTGCGCACGCGGCGGACTACGACCTCCTGTCACTGAAAGAGCCCAGTTGGAGCCACACCGACGAGATCCCAAAAACCGGATCTAGAACTCCCGGGCACGGGCCTGGCCCAGGGCCGACGGCGCGCTCCCGCAGTAACGGTAGCAGTGGGGGTTACGGCGCAGCAGGGGGACTTGGTGGGGGGGACGCAGACCGGGGACGGGGTGCTTGGCCTGTGCCCGGAGCACGCAGGGTCTCCCCTAAAGGACGTGCCCGAGAGCACAGTCTGCTGAGGTAGCAGGCCCGAGCCCCTCCACCCTCGGGCAGGCTCTGAACGATGTCCCGGAACTACAAAGGGGGCAGCGCTGCCGGGCCACGCGGCGGGGGACCCCGACGCGCAGCAGCGGAATCCACCCCAGAGCCGAGAACACACCTCGTTGTTGTGCAGGGTCAGGCACAGCTTGCACTCGTAGGAGCCCAGGTGGTTCTTCATGAAGTAAGGGTCCTGGGGAGAGAAACATCCGTCAGCGGCGACCGTGGCCCCGCACGCGCTGCGAAGAGCCAGAGCCTGGTCTTTGTCCAAGCAGCAGAGGCGGCTGCTTTCCCTCGGGCAGGCGTTCGAGGACAGGGGGCTGGGAGGAGCCCGTGGCCCAGGCTCCACGGGGCCCTCCTGAGGCAGCACCACACAACTCCCCCCCCCGGATCCTGTGGACACAGGCCGCTCGGCAGGGCTGGGGGCCCACGATACTGGTTCTCCACCCCGCCCCGGTGGCGGTTCCAGGTCCGGAAGGAAGCAGAGCCAGGACGGCACGGCTGGGCGCCCGCCTCCCAGGCCAGGCCAGGCCAGGCCAGGGGCCCGTCGCTAACCTCGCCGGCTTTGCCAAGCTCTGCGGCACAAGCCAGACACCAGAACAAAAGCAAACGCCTCAACAAAGGCCCGTGGAGACCCTGGTCTCTGCGCACGGGGTTCCCAGGCCAGCCACGCAGCCTTCCACGAAGAGGGGCGGCGGCACAGACCCACGGGGGTTCAAATCCTAACTCGCTGTCCCGTGACTGTGTCGTCGTTGGCCGTGACGGTTCTCCCTCGTCTCCTTGGGAAAATGGGGACGGGAACAGAGCTGACCTCACAGGTGAGGCCTGGCCCACGGTGAGAGCTCTCGTCTCAGAGGAGTTTGAAGTCTAAGGGGCACCATGCGTGGACCCAGGGCACACTGGGGGACGTCTGGGGACACTGGAGTTTGTCACAGTTGGGGTGATCCTGGCACTGAGTGGGTGGGGGCCGGGATGCTGCTGGGCTGCCGACAGCACCCAGGATGCTCTGGCCCTAAATGTCCGCAGTGCCGACGGGCAAATCTCGGTCTACCGATAGCTCTGAACCGCCAAATAAAACGTTGCCCTTCACTGCTCACGGCCAGAACGTCAATCCACACGACGCTGTCTCAGTCCTCGCCACCGGCAATTCCCCACGCCTCTGGTCAGTCAGTCACACAAAAAGCTCACGCGATAACCCACCTCCCCCACTCTGAACAGCAGGCGGTCTCTGAGGTGGACAGCTGGAGTTGCTCTAGGTCAAGTTCCCTTGATTACAGACCGGGACCCGAGGCCCAGAGCGCTGGGCAGCGGGGCGAACGGCACCAGGTGCGGGCGTACTGAATGTGGCTCCACTGACGGAAGGCAGAGCGAGGGAACACGGGACGGAGGGGGGCTTCCTGCCCTCGGTTCGACCCACCTTGTTGATGTCAATGGTCTCCAGGGCCAGCTGCCGGAGGCGCTCCCTGCGGTCTCGGTTGCTCTCTGAGGAGGAGGCCACGCCTCCACTTCCCGTCTTACCCCCAGGGCGATGCTGGAAGTCCATGGTGATGGCGTTGGGATTTTACCAGACCCCGGAGAAACCTGCAGGGACAAAAGAGAGGCTGTGACAGTGCAGGGCACAGCAGGGGACAGGGCAGGAGAGACACCACCCCCCCACCCTCTACAGTCTCCCATCCCTCCCTCTGCCCCCCACCCCATAGTCTCCCACCCCCCCCAGCTCCTGATGGGGACAAGCCTCATCGCCCCCCACCCCCGCCAATCTTCAGGTAGGCTGAGGGCCCAGAATGGCCCAGGCACGCACAAACCAGGAACAGGATAAACAGGATGCCTGGCCCTGGGGGAGGCCTGGACAGGAAGCCCCCGCAGCCCGAAAGGTGCAAAGGCTCAGAGACCCAAAAGGGCAACGAGGAAGAAACGGCCAAGCCACCTGCTTCAGGAAGCCTTCCCGGACCTTGGCCCGAAGTCTCTGCGTCTGCTCACTTCTCCGGAGTCCTGTAGCTCAGCCGAAAACCTGCTGAAGAGGAAGAAGAGAATCTACCTGTTCCTCCTAACGCACAAGAGACATTCAAGACCTGACTGTGGCCCAGGAGGGCTCCCCTGAGCCCTCGATACCCTGTTCCACTCCCTGCCACAGTGCCTCCCACGTTCTTCCAGACTCGGCTCAAACCCAACCCCCAGACACCTCTCTCGCGTCTCTGAACACTCTCCCTCTTGACTGGTCAGTATCAGCCCCGCTGGCTTAAACCCACACTATCTTGTCTCTGCAGAAGTGAACTCATAGGGACAGGCCCAGCAGTGAACATGACCGCACAAAGACGCCCCCATTCTAATCCCCAAAACAGTAAACGTGGAACCACGTATGGAAAAAAGGACCTTGCAGGTGGGATCGACTCAAGGTCCCGAAGTGGGGGAGACCCTGGGTTCCCCAGGGGCCCAGTGTCCTCACAAGGGAGGCAGAGGGTGGGAGGCAGAGAGCCGGGCAGACCCTGTGCTGCCGGCCGCGAGGATGAGGAGGGGCCACAGGCCGAGGACGCGGTGCCTCTGGAAGCCGGAAAAAGGGGGAGACAGGGCTCCCTGGGGCCCCTAGAAGGAGCACAGCCCTCCGTTTTATACTTCTGATTTCCAGAACCGCACAGTAATAAGTCTGTAGCCCTTAAACCACTAACTTCGTGGCGATTTGCTATAGTGGCCACACGCAAGGAACACACAGGGTACAGACCAGCTGTGCTGTGGACCTTGGAGTCACCCTGTAACTCTAGAGGAACCTCGACCTCTCCCTGGCCCGGTTCTTATCTTCTGGATGAGCACACGAAGACCTCACACCCGGGAACCAGCAACGCGACCTTCCGGATGGCTGCCGACTCAGGGCAGTTATACCGGTCACAGGGTCAGACCCTGTATTACAGAAGGACGCCTGGAGCTTCCCACTTTGAAACGCTGTCAGGCCAAGTGCGGAGGCCAAGCACCGCCAACTATCCCAATCACTCCATCACACGGCACTTGGTCCTGAGAAGAGGGTACAACGCCAGGAGCACCCCCTGCCAGGGAGGCAAGCGCACTGGCCCACGGAACCCCCGCTGCCTCGCCACCTGTGCCGTTTGCGGCGAGCCCAGGGAAAGCTGCACCCCAACCCTCCCAGGGGGGATCCCCGTGGTCCTGGCTGCCAGACCTGGTCACAGGCTCCGCGGGGGAGGCCCTGCCAGGGGCTGAGCTGTGCCGGCATCTGCCGTGAAGCACCCGCTGTGCCTTGGGAGACTCCAGCGTTTCTGGGGGAAGTGGTGAGAAACTCCTGGGGTCAGGGGGGTAGGGGGGAGCACAGAGGGACACGACTGGCCCTCGCTGCTGCCCGCAGCACGGCCGGGGCTGGGGAGGTCTCTCCCACAGGTCTTGAGTGACTTACGGGGCTCCGTGAGGAGCCTCCCACCTTCTCAAGGACGTTACGGGAGAGCGTTCGCCCAAACAATGAAATGGGGTGCCTGTGGGGGAGCGTGTGCTGATCAAGTGAGCAGCAGCTGACAGTAGATGAAAACGTGCTCAACGTCACTGTCCCTAGGGAACCGCAAATCAAAACCCCACGGACGCACTGCCTCCCGCCCATCAGGATGGCTGTTGCCAGAAACAGAAAACAAAGGCAACTCTCCGGAGTCAGGGCCGGACTCAGGAGGAAGCGGTGTCCCCCCCGTCTGCAGAGGAGAGGACGACACAAGCTCAAGGCCCAGGACACAGTTTGTGCTGATGCCTTGTTTCCCGTCATGTGTTACATGGGTGACGCTTCCGGAACACTCCACGGACCCAGTGGGAGCAAAGAGTTGCCCAAGTGACTCGGAAGGCAACTTTTTTT